ACACACGCACGCACACACACACGCACGCACGCACGCAAGTACACACACACAAACACATACACACACACAAACACACACACACACACACACACACACACAAACACACACACAAACACATACACATACACACACATACACACACACACGAATGCCACCGAAAAAATAAAAATAACCTTCTTGCGAAGGTAAAAACTTTTTCGTAGCCTGAAAAAGTGCAAGTAAATGGTTAGCAGAATTTAAGGGATAGGTTGAGGGGAGGGTCGTTCCTTATGGTGTGTTAACTATTTCTCCCCCTGGAATCTCCCATTGCCAGTAGGTGTTAGGTAGTGTAACGGTGGGGAGGGACACACGCCGTGCTGTGTTACGGGTTTCCTCCCCTAGGATCTCCCATGGCCAGTAGGTGTTAGGTAGTGTGACGGTGGGGAGGGACGCACGCCGTGCTGTGTTACGGGTTCCCTCCCCTGGGATCTCCCATGGCCAGTAGGTGTTAGGTAGTGTGACGGTGGGGAGGGACGCACGCCGTGCTGTGTTAAGCTAAGGTCCCAATTGGGAAAAGGGGCCTTGGCGGGTAGTTCCCGGGCTGTTTTTTACCACTTTCGGGCGGGACCCCGACGTGGCCCCGCGGGGCACCCTGCGGCTACCGGGCTATTTTTTGGCCCGTCGGGGCCCCGATAAGAATTTAATTCTGAGTTAAATTCTACCCGGGCCCCGCTGACAAAAAGACGCCGTGACCTCATCGTGAGAACACCGAGAGGTACCCCTCCGGTTGCCGGCATTCCACCGGGACACATTTCTTACGTCACAGACCAGATGAACAGAATAAAGGTGTGTACTTCGTAAACCCGGGTAAAATGTGTGACCTCACAGATCAAATGATCACAACAAATACGTGAATTCTGCATTACGTATAGGTCAATACAAGACATCGTCAGAGAATCTGCTGGGTACCTGCCGGGTGCCTGCCGGATACCGAAAAGAGGGTGACAAAATTTCTAACAAAATGCTACTGAAGGAACCTTTTAATTGTGACCACGACAGCCGATGCCCGCTCGACTCCTGAACCCGGCCGGGGCCAGCCGGGGCTACATCCCCGACGGGCACCGGAGTAATTGGGACCTTAGCTTTACTGGTTCCCTCCCCTGGGATCTCCCATGGCCAGTAGGTGTTAGGTAGTGTGACGGTGGGAAGGGACGCACGCCGTGCTGTGTTACAGGTTCCCTCCCCTGGGATCTCCCATGGCCAGTAGGTGTTAGGTAGTGTAACATCGGGAAGGGACACACGCCGTGCTGTGTAACGGGTTCCCCCCCGGGACCTGCAATGGCCAGTAAGTGGGCATGATTCCATCCATGACGTTGACGTACGTCCCCACACCTTGGTCAGGCCGGGATACCTGAGCTGTCCTCAGCTGTCTACGGGCTCTTATACCTTGGACCAGGGAGGCGTTCCTGTAATAGGGATTTCGCTGGTCGTTGGCCTGCCCAGTCGATCCATATGTGGCAATGGATCTTCCAGACCGTTGCCTGCTGGAAGTAATACGGTTGCCCGCAAGGAGTCGTCGGTTCTGTCGACAGTTTGTGACGACATGAAGCGGAAACGCGGCATCAGAACAGAAAGGAATGGGTCCGGTAGCGTCATCATCTGGAATCTCACTGTAGGTATGTGTTGGGACAGATACATCTTGGAGGCCATGTAGTTCCCCCTGATGAGCACAAGCTACGTCATCTGGGATCTCGCTGTAAGTAGGTTCGATGGAATGCAGGACGGCGGGCAATGACCTACAAGATGCTGCGTCATCCGACGCCATGTTGCCTGAGTATGTTGGTAAGGAAGCAGACCTCAGTAAGCCTGGGAAGGCAACACCGGGGGGTATTGTCCAAGCGTGTGTATCATCGCTGGCCCTGTCATCTTCAGAGTTTAACCTTGCTGCACGCACTTTCCACAACAACACTGCAAGGAACGACATGACCAGAACAACCGCTGCCGAGACAATAATTGAGATGAGAACATGATCTGGTGACTGAGCCACCTCTAGATCTTGTCCAGTTGTGGAACTCATCTGGAGGGTAGACTGGTATCTTGGTTTTAAAGATGTGTAGCCTTTCTCTGTAGTTTCTAAATAGTATGTCGGGCTGCTTGATCGGTTAGTGACTAATCTGTAAGAGCTTTTTGTTGTGCGGGTCTGGCTTTTGATCAAAGGAACGGTGAAATACAACTTCGTGACTTGACCCCTACTTAGAATAATGCATGTTATGTTTTTTGTGTTATCATGGGTAATATGTGTGTGTGTGGTGTGTTTTTGGTTGCCAGGCTCTGTGGTGGTGTGTGTGCTCTGGTCTGGTATCTGGACAAACGACATGCCAACAGCTTCAGAGGTTGTGTTCCCTGAAGACATGGAAGCCATTCGGAAGATTGAGTTTCCCACCAGGGGCACTGTAATGCCACCATCATGTTCCCAAACCTGCCTGCACTGCTCAGGCGTGTTGGTGTTCAGTTTGTCTGCCAGAGAGCCGTCGGAAGCAAGAACAAGAGTAGGGGCCTGTATGGAGATCGTGCTCAGAAAACTGTCCAAATCACCACATGATCTACCAGGGTTGATATTGACCACACTAAAATCGATGCCACCCATCACATTGTCTGTTGAATTTAACACCCACCCAAAGAAGAGTTCATTAGCAGTTTGTCTGACACAGAGGTGAAAGTTAGCCACCTCAACAACCATTGTTACTGACCCTCTGAGAAAATGTTTTAACCGATCTAGCCCCCATATCGTTCCATGAGGCATTGCATCATGAACAGACGACAACACACGACTGCTGGCATGAAAACGTGACAGCCAAGGCTGTCCCCACAACACGTCTTTGTCCAAACATGACAGCTTATTATCCCTCAGGTCTAACCAGGTCAGCTGAAGGCTTTTGAATGATCCGGGGGAAATACTATTGATCGCATTCGACCTCAGATTCAGGATCGTACTTCCTCCTAATCCACTAAGCCAGGCTTGATCTACAGCCTGTAACAGGTTGTTTTCCAGATCCAAGATACGTAGGCGCGTTAGGTCCTTGAAGCTCCCTGGCTCTATGTACTTAATGTTGTTGTTGGACAAAATCAGCGTCAAGAGACTCCCTAAGCCAGTGAACCAGGTCAGTTTGACATCTGCTAACCTGTTAGAATCAAGGCTCATTTTTCGAAGCCCCGAAAACTCAGAGAAGGTGTTGTTCTTCACATCAACGATTTTTGCATCTATCAAAGCTAAGGTGTCGATCTCCGAACTGTCAAGCTGTGCCAGTTTCTCAGCCGACAGGGCATGGAATGGGTATCCTCTTATTGCCACTTCCTCTGCCCCAGCTGGAAAAATGAAAGGGCTTCTAGAAGCACCATCTTCATTCAGGACATCACACACGACACATACACCTGTGACAGAGGCAAGCCCTGTCGGCTTGCCTGTGAAAGGCACACACTCAAACCATTCAGTTCTCTTACACTGAGGAAATCTCGGTCCATTTGGGGCTGCACATGCAGTTGCCAAGAGAAGCAAAAACAACATGGCTGCGTTTTCCGTTGCACTGCCACTTACATACACCCGTTAAACATTTTATCCAAAACATTATTGGTCACTTACCTGCTCTCTGTACCCATGATAGGCAGATCTGTAAGCACCAAGGAGAAGCTCTCGGTCGGCTAAGAACTTGTTTTCTTTAAATTAGCGTAATGGGGGAGTAATTTTCTGTATCTAACAATCTTTGCACCACTGTCTGCGGGCAGTGCAACCGCCTCTCTTACTGTCTCTGTGGGTCTACGACCTGATCAAGATACCCCCAGTGCAGCATTCATTATAATATTATAATGTTATTGAGATGAGCAAAGGTACAAGTGGAAAGGTTATAAATATGCAGTGGGTGGGCCATGAATGGTCTGGTTCATCTTCCACTGCTCCTCTTTATTACATTCCTTTGCCCTAGTTCTACACCCTGTAGTGCCCCCCCCTCCCCAGAGATCAGAAACCTCCCCAAGTTTTTTTTGTTTAGCTTAGTCAGAATTTTTACAGAACTAAAGCAGCATCCTGGGATGAGAAAATGAGTCCCAGGATTTGGCGCCAAAAAGGCTTTTGTTTTTCTGAATAAAACCAACATGGCAGCCATGTTCTAAGTTTGTGGGTCCACCATGTCTTCCTTTCATACGCGTGACAATTATCGCTCTCGCTTCTTTGTAGATTTGATGCTACGGAATTTTCACCCTTATAGTGTTGAAACGTTTGTTTCCTTACGGAAGAAGCATACTCCACAATGCCACTTTTTTGTTTCTCCCTACTAGTAGGTACGACATTTATCCCCCCCCCCTCCCCAGACCAAACACAGTGGAGGAAACTTGCTGCCCAATGTGTTACGCACGGGAGGAACTAAGTGTAAGTCTCCCCGTTTCAATACTTTTTCACTCTTGAGTTAAAATATGTATTATGATTTTCTTTAGTATTTCAATTCTAGTAAGCTAGGCAGACACCATTTGTCCTTTTTGTTTATACATTGTTTGTGTCCGATTAAGCTGTCTTATTCTGTTGTCCTTCACCATTTTGGCTCTGCAGCGTCTCTTCAAGTTGGTACAAAGATTTTGTTTAAACCTCTTTGGTTGACAATTTAGGTGTGGTGGCTGGAAAAAGCTACATGCAGAATTTCTGAGACATGCTGTAGTATATATGGAATAATTCATCTTCCCTCTCCCTTATACAGGGGATAGGCCAATATAATAGTCTGGTAACCTTGTGAAACAGATTACAATCGCAATAACTGCATAAATGCAGGTTATCAAAAAGAGCCATCTCTATGTAGAAGATTAAAAAGACACGTCCCGGGTACACTGATCTGTTTTTTGTTTGTTTTGAAACTGTTTATCATGTTTCGATATGCGGTAAATATATATATATACAGAGTAATATTTACAGACACCTCAATACACATGCAACTACATTTTGTTTCAACCATATTATATTCCATCTCAGGCTAAGAGCTAAGGCTATTTCAAAACCTCCATGATTTGAGTTATGTAGCCCTTGGGTTATGTAGTACTGACAGTTTTGTGGTTCTGTAGTTATGTAACCATATGCGTATTATTATATGAGAAATGATGTAAACTTTCGTGCCGACAGTCCTGTGCCTTACTGTTTATAAATAGACAGCCGGATTTTTCATTACCTTTGCCAGAAGATAATTTTTCGGTTTGGCTATGGGGGGGTGGGGGGTGTACGCCACATAACTCGTTAAAGCCATGGATTATAATCTGTGATCTGTTGGCAAATATTAAATTGAAAATTAGAGGTCGGAGATCTCATGTCTTCGTCAGAGGTACATTGTTCTAGAGAAATGAACATGTGTATTCTTTACTCTTTTTAATAATCAATTTGGTCTAAAGTACAAAAGAATCTCTGTACTCTTTTTTTATGCTACAGAACACCCTGAAAGGGTTCGCCACAGATACGCCCCACCCTACGTTATTTGATTTTGGACTGTTACTGGAAAAAACTTACAAGAAATTCTTCTTACTGTATTATGATGAAAGTGTCACGACAGTGTCGCAAAATATAATAAGAGAATGTGTGATAAAAGAAAGAATCAGAACAGGGCGACTACTGCTGTTTTGTTGATTTATCTTTATGACGAATAGAAGACTTGTTTCTTGTTACACTGCGTTCTTTTATTAAACTTGTGTGACTTGTGTCATAACATTTGTATTTCTACAGTCAGTATATTCCAAATTCCATCTCCTTTTTCAGCCCTTCATATTTTTATTGCGCTTTCACATTAAATTTAAGGTCTCCGGTGGACGTCATCCATAGCAATTACTTGGTGTGGCCGTAGAAAATAACCTGTCACATGTCCAACCTATCCTCCCCCATCTGAACTTATAGTACAGTCCCTCAATGTAACGTCATTTGATCCCATCCCATTATGGGGTTCCCGGCTATATCCAGCTGTCGGCTGTCTCCAAGCAGAGGTGGTTGGGGAAGTTCTAAACACAAAAGGTCCGCTACAGTGTCACTACAACGAAACCCCCCACAAAGCCCATTAACGAACTTAAGCTTGGTCCCAACAAAAGTAATCTGTCTACCAAAGATTATAAGCAACATTTTACAAATACTTGAGTTATTTTGCTAACAAGCCACAAACACAAAAGGTGCACTAACATAACGCACGGACCGCCCACGAAGCCGAAACTTGCACTTGACTCTGGCCTCAACAACGGTTATCTGTCTGCCAAAAATCATGGATGTCGAATCATGCCTGCCAGAGTTATATCGCAAAATCCGCAGTTCCCACAATGCGGCGAGACAATTTCATAGTCCTTCTGACGAAGACAATTAGCTTAATGACGGTTTTATACGTCACCGTGTTTGTTTTCGAACAAGAATTCGGACATATACCTCCATGACTTTTTGTAAATGTACACTACAGTACAGAACAAAGTAACACAGGTTTTTGTTTTCAAACCTTTGGCCTGAAATAGGTCAGGCTGTAATAGATATGGTCTGCAGAGGGCTTCAAAGTTTTTGGATAATGTTTTGGGCATAAATGAAGTGGTATAAGTTTAGGCTCCCTAGAAGCCTCACTGGTGTGTGTGAGTGTATCTACGAATGTCTGTGGCCAACAAGGTTTGATTACATATATCTATGTTGGTAACATGACGTACCCCCAAGAATTATTGGAAAACCGTATTCTTGCACGATGTTGGGGATTGATGACTACCAGGGCTCGCTAAGATAGTTGCATACTTGCAGACCTTACCAATTGATTTCTGCACGCATTTCCTTTCCAATTTATAAATAGGACTGCTGTCCATGACTTATTACGCCTAGGAAACAATGCTTTTTTTTTATGTTATCGGATCGATTTTTGTAGTTTTATCTTTTGTTGGCTCCAGTTTGATCATGTTATCATACATGTTATTTACTATCAAGTACCGAGGGCGTTGATAGGTCGCCACCGCGGACTATGTCTCCACTTCTTGATAACAGGGGCTAAAGTTTTGCGTCGGTCATTCACCAGTTTCCCATCCCCAGAATGCAATGCGAAAATAGGGGGGTAACCCTCATTTGCATAGGACTGGAAGGCATCGGAATGATCCTGGTGACGTTAACCAGCTTGCTTTTCACTGTGTTTTGAGGCGTTGGGGCATTTTATGCTCAAAATTAATTAAATTACTATGGGTTGAATCTGAAAACAAATAGAAAATGATTTTTTTAAATATGTGGTTTGTAACGTTATAGTGGTAACGATATACTGATGCTGTAACGTTACAAACCACATGTTCCATGTTGAAAAGAACACTAAAACTTCATTCTCTATTTGTTGTCAGATTCGGCTCATAGTAATTTAATTAATGTTGAGCATAAAATGCCCCAACACCTCAAAACACAGTGAAAAGCAAGCTGTTTAACGTCACCAGGATCATTCCGATGCCTTCCAGTCATATGCAAATGAGGGGTATCCCCCTATTTTCGCATTGCATTCTGGGGATGGGAAACTGGTGAATGCTGTTTATTATTAGGTAAGCACAAAGTCTTTCTACACAAGGGACGTGAGACTAGCACAGACTTGCTCAAAATTAGGAACGTTTAGAAAGTTAACGACAAAACTGAAACAGCATGGCCAAGCGTCGCCTTTATCCGACAAGTTGTATTTTGGTTGTGCTGGCCTTCTGTGTAGTCGGGGCTACAGCAGGTGAGTGGTAAATTAACGAGTATCTATTGAATACGTCGATGAAAGTTTGACATCCATGTCATCCATATAATGAGATGCACAAGAAGACATAAAATACTGGATATTTTGGAAACTGTCTAATCCGCCATAAGATCCATTACGTTTCATCAGTTTGTTCTCCTGGCATTTTTACACAATATTTTCAAATAATTTGATGTCTTAACCAGGTCATAGTCCCTTGACTTTTTTTTTGCCCCGCGGTGGCATACATGTACTTCCGTATTCGTTGTGCTTCGCTGCTGTGGTATGTGTTAACACAAGAGAAATACCCCCAAATTGTACATATACAGGGTGTACATATAGATGGTACTGTATGTGCAACTCATATAGAAGTTTATTGCAAATTCGTGCCCGGAGGCTAATTGCAAATTACAAACATCAAAGAACAATGAAACAGAGTATAAAATAACTAAAATCTACATGATAAAAGGTAGTTGTCTAGAGCTATAGCTATGTCTAAAACTATGTCTAAGGAGTTTGACCTCTTTTCTAGACCATGGAATTTCGAAGACGTAATGTCTCACCTTTTCCAAAAGTAGTGTGCTTTGGGAAGTTCAAAGAAGAATAGTTTTTTCTTTGTCTGTAAGTTTAGTAAAATTGGGATAAACTGTAGAAGTTTGAATAGTCAACTTATTTCGAGCGTTGTTATTAAAGGAACAGTTTGAGATAAAGTGTATTAAATGGGCTCCGCAAGACAAGGTTAACAGTTATTAATGGAATCTGTAGTTGAGCAGGTATTAATAAAAAAAAAAACTTCCAGGCATCCTAGACCGTTTAACGATGAGTTATAATCAATATATAGAAAGGCAATATATTAGTCCAGCGGCATAGCTGAAAAATTGTGCACTTTTGTCTAAAAGCACCAAATTTGGCACACATGTAGTTGAACATATTCTACGCAAATCTGGATATGAAGGCATTTTCATTTCTGCCCAGGAGCGCCGTGATGTCATCTTGACCCCCAAAATAGGCGAAGCGTTCTTGTGCCATAATTAGAAGGGGGGAGGGGCAAAAAATTAAACAGCAATATTTTTCCTTGAAAATTTATATGCCACCATAACTTATATGAGAAAATGTACAATTCCACCCTCAACAGGAAAGTTGACCTACACATCGACCTTTGGCACTTGGACCCTGTTCCTACACCCCTGAGATAACATTACTAGTAGCTCCTGTGCTCAAACAACAGGAGCTAACTGACTGACATAATATGTTTATGTTTAACAGTTTTATTCATAAAAATCAGCCTTGCAGCCAGTACAACAACAAGCTGAATAACACTGATTTTTTACATTTGTCTAGGAAATACAAATCAACATTACAACACATATACAGACACACAAACAAAAACATTACAAAAGCCTCACATGGGCACGAAAGCAAATACCAGAGAGTCCTTAGAGTCTTACTGCGAAGACTCGTTGTACAGGCATATTACCCTGTGTAAGAAAGAGTTTTTCAGTCTTTTCGTACTGGCTACTGGTACTGATACCCAGCTGAAACCCTCCCAGACCTTGATTTTGCTGATGATATTGCTTTATTGGAAAACTCAATAAAATATGCACAAAATCTTCTCACAAAAGTTGAAACTTCATGTCAAAAAATAGGTTTATACTTGAATGCTTCCAAGACAAAGTTCATGCATCTAAACCCTACTACTGACAGTTTACTTTTTGCCACTGATGGCACTGAAATAGAATGTGTTGCGGATTTCAAATACTTAGGGGGGTACTCTGATAGTGTTCATGACATGGATGTGCGGATCGCACAGGCATGGAGTGCTCTTCACTCATTACATAAGATTTGGAAAGCGCCCATTAGAAAACAAACTAAGATCAAAGTGTTTAAGGCATGTATTGAAACAATTCTTTTGTATGGGTCAGAATCATGGGTCATGAATACGTCACATTCTAGAAAACTAAACGGAACATACACGAAGATGTTGCGAGTGGTTTTCAATACACCATGGTGGAAACACACTACTAATGAACAGTTATACGGTTCGCTACCAAATGTAACTTCAGTAGTCAAATGTCGACGACTAAGCTTGGCCGGTCATGTAATACGTAGTGAAGAACCAGCCAGTAGGCTTCTACTCTGGAACCCTGATACCTGTAAGAGAAGAGTTGGACGCCCAAACATAACAGTTAAGAAACTTATTGAAACTGAAACTGGCTTGGAGGGACATGAACTTTTCTCAGTGATGTATGACAGACAGTTGTGGCGAACTAACTTTGTATGCTCCACCTCTACGGAGGATGAATGATGATGATGATGATGACTGGTGCTGTAAGTGCAGTTCCATTTCTTAAGGTCCTCCCAGTGGCCGTTGTCCTGGCCGGTGGAACCAGGTCATGGAGGGGATGACCCTCGTCCAGCATGTTCTTAAGTAGCTTCACTGCTATATGATGTAATTCTCTATCATTTTCAATCCTAAGTACCCTTTATCCTTTATATCACTGTCATTATCATTTAATCACACCAGGGTTTATCGGTATACCGAAACATGTCTACAGAATTCCCAATTAAATAAGTTTAATCAATGGAACAGTTAATATTATAACAACATAGTCGTTCATATGCAAAAGACAAGACGACGTTACAAAATCAGAAACAATGTTTTGAGTAAGTTTTTTTCATGACTACACAGAAGGCCGGCACAACCGAAATAAGAAAAAACAACATGATTTTTGTCTATGTACACGAAGCACTTCATTTTCTCCTAACTCCTTAACCACATACGAAGGCCCATAGGTACACTTAGCATTTTTTTATTCCACTTTGTATTTTCTATGGGTACTTTGTATTTTCTATGGGTACTTTGTATTTTCTATGGGTACTTTGTATTTTCTATGGGTACTTTGTATTTTCTATGGGTACTTTGTATTTTC